TATTATTAACAGCAGCAGAACATTATTAACAGTGACAAAGTATTATTAACAGCAGCAAAGTATTATTAACTGTTACACGGTATTATTAACAGCAGCAGAAGTATTATTAACAGCAGCAAAGTATTATTAACAGTGACAGAGTTTTATTAACAGTGACACAGTATTATTAACAGCAGCAGAACATTATTAACAGTGACAAAGTATTATTAACAGCGACACAGTATTATTAACAGTGACAAAGTATTATTAACAGTTACACAGTCGTATTAACAGTGACAAAGTATTATTAAGGGAAACACTCTCTATCGTGACGATCATCACCGTTACATTATTAACGTTGGGTGAAGAGCGCTTTCTTTCAATGAAGTAGCGTCTTGGTTATATAAGATACCCTGCAGTTTAATGACGTTGAAAACAAACCGAAGAGAAAATAACTAATCCGCTCACTAAGAAATCAGTAACAGAACAATGTGAAAGCAGCAAAATTCGTTAGTACAAAAGTACATCTCCTTCCAGTTAGTCAAGTTAAAGTTTTACCGATTCTGTAAAACAACATTCAACTGTGACAGTAAATAAACTTCAAGGTTATAAATAAATGAAAAAGTATAAACCCGGTATTTGAAGAGTGATCGGTTCAGTGGTACCAAGCGATCAGTGACGGTCATTGTCCGATTCTTATACATGCCTCTTTTACTGAGGATACTAGGTTGTAATTATTTTAAATTGCCTCTTCACATCCAATGAAATTGCACGGTTTCGCTCACCTTTTCTAAAGCCTCAGTCGATAACACGAGCAAAACGATCTGCAAGTGGCTGTGACGTAATCAAAGATGGAACCATGTGAGATACTCATTCTTTGTCTCCATTTTGAAAGCGAAAAAACTTCACATACGAAACTCGTATAAATACAAATATTAATTCATATAAGTTTGCTTGTTTTTGAATTTCGCGCAAAGATACACAAAAGCTATCTGCGCTAGCCGTCCCTAATTTAGCAGTGAAAGGCCAGAGGAAAGGCAGCTAGTCGTCACCACCCACCGCCAACTCTTGGACTACTCTTTTACCGACGAATAGAGGGATTGATTGTCACATTATAACATTACCACAGCTGAAAAAGCGAGCATGTTTGGTAGGATGGGGATTCCAACCCGCGACACTCAGATTGCGAGTCAAGAGCCCTAACCAACTGGTTATTAATGAAACGAATGTACGAACGTGACAAACACTTATTAAGTCATCACTAAAACTTTAGGCTTGAGTAATGTTAAACTAAACTAAATAGTCGACATTTTCAAGCAAAAAACTGATCATAAATCCGACGTTGCTGCAAATGTTGACCAGCTGCAATGTTCTATTAATCACTATGTTTCATTGACCAGCTGCTCTGTTCTATTAATCACTTTCTACGTTTTACTGACCAGCTGCAATGTTATATTAATCACTATGTTTTATTGACCAGCTGCAATGTTCTGTTAATCACTATGTTTTATTGACCAGCTGCAATGTTATATTAATCACTATGTTTTATTGACCAGCTGCTCTGTTCTATTAATCACTATGTTTTACTGACCAGCTGCTCTGTTCTGTTAATCACTTTCTACGTTTTACTGACCAGCTGCTCTGTTCTGTTAATCACTTTCTACGTTTTACTGACCAGCTGCAATGTTCTATTAATCACTTTCTACGTTTTATTGACCAGCTGCTCTGTTCTGTTAATCACTTTCTACGTTTTATTGACCAGCTGCAATGTTCTATTAATCACTTTCTACGTTTTATTGACCAGCTGCTCTGTTCTATTTAACTTTTTTTTCCTGTTTCTTTATTACATGGGAGATGTAATGGTATAATTTTTCTGGTTTAGCACCAGCTAATGATATAAATGTTATGGTCATAAAACTTTCGTTTGTAAATAAGCGGCTCGTTTAAGGAAATAAATTGTAAATTGAAACATTTATTTGTGTTGTTATTCAGTCTTGAAGAAAGTAATCATGACTCTTCCAAGTTATTCTCATACAGACAGCAATCTTCAATTTCAAACTGAGAACAAATTCTAACATCCTCGAAAACGTTTGAATCTGTAAGTTGAAGCACTTGAAAGTATCCATCTTGATTGTTTGGACGAGCTTCAGACATAATACTATAAATAATCCGCAGTTACAACATCAATGGAATTCCAAGTCAAAGAAAACGTTTCATAGAATGACGTAACAAACCAGTTTAGTTTTCAAGAATCAGTTTTGGGGAATGTTTACAATAATTTGGAGATATTCAGATACTCGGTTTTAGAAGTCACTGTATGCGAGTATCTGAATAATGATCAAGAGGTGAAATACTAAGTTCTCACCCTTAGGTTTTTAAAAATATGATCGCAAAGTGTTATATTGAATATCTTATCTTTAGGATGTGAATAAAGATCTCAAGATGAGAATTAAGATTTTACTGTAGGATTTGAATAATGGAAAGTGGATGTAAATATTTAAGTAATGAGCACACGGAAGTAGCATTCTTGCCTCAGGGGACGTCAGATATAAACAGGTATTGTAGTGTCATCGTTCGGAAAACAGTCCAACAGACCAGTTTTGGGTGTGCGGGTTGAAGTCGTCCTTGACATAGCAGGTTCTGCTTGTGACTACAGGCCTGGATGTGCGATATTAAAATCTTGGATGAGACATTCTCTATCAAGATGGAATCCATCTTTTCTTGACCGTCGTGCCACAAGACTATCTTATGCGTTTCAACAATCAGAACTGGTAATTTCAGAGTTTTGTATAAGTCATTCTCTTTTCATCCGTTTAGAATTATCTAACTTATATTTTAAACATGACGAAAGTAGCATGTTAGCATAAAAGATAACTTGACCTATTTAGCCCACTCGGGCTCTTTCCACTTTAGTGTATAAATACGAATGAAGAAAGGGCAAATGAAAGTAACTTAGGCTTAGCTACACAATGGGCTATCTGTGCTCTGCCCACCAAGGGTATCGAAACCAGGTTTCTTGTGTTGTAAATCCGCAGACCTACTGTGCCACTGAGAGGTTTTACAGAGAAAAATTTAATTTAATTATTGTATACATATATTTGGTTTCTGCTTTAATTCGATGTTTTTCCTGATGGCATTTACCCAAGATATAACATTAATCAAACTTTACGTAGCTAAAAAACATAATCAGCTAATCACGAAGCTTGTTTATAGATATAAAGTTTATCTTTTGTTGACTGATTAAAACACACTAAATATTAAGTAAAAACAAAATTACATGCATATGTTAACAGAGTTAAACCCCAAATCTGGTATCAAGCATCATACTAACAATAAATGCTGGTTATTAATATTTCTACAGTGGTGTCCACTTGTGATGCCATTGACATCCTTAGAATAAAAGACATTTCACGATAAAGTCCTTTAAATAGATAGCATTTTATTTTTATACTGTTATGTTTGACGAGATAAATACTTTCAGTGGTTTTAATTTTTATTTCGGTTTGATTATCGTTTACATGGAGAGTTTTATTAACTAAAACGACGGACCAGTTAATGATTTTTAGTGGTTTTAATATTTATTTCGGTTTGATTATCGTTTACATGGAGAGTTTTATTAACTAAAACGACGGACCAGTTGATGATTTTTAGTGGTTTTAATTTTTATTTCGGTTTGATTATCGTTTACATGGAGAGTTTTATTAACTAAAACGACGGACCAGGTAATGATTTTCAGTGGTTTTAATTTTTATTTCGGTTTGATTATCGTTTACATGGATAGTTTTATTAACTAAAACGACGGACCAGTTAATGATTTTCAGTGGTTTTAATTTTTATTTCGGTTTGATTATCGTTTACACGGAGAGT